TAAATGGTGTTGGAAAAACTGGATGTCAACCTGCCAAAGATTAAAACTAGACCCATACCTATCACTGCACACTAAACTAAGATTGAAGTGGATTAAAGATCTAAATATTAAGTCAGAAACACTATACTTGCTGGAAGATAAGTTAGGTAGAACTCTTGATGACATTGGCATAGGAAAAGACTTTATGAACGAACCTTCAGTAGCACAGGAGCTAGCACAAAGAATCAACAACTGGGATCTCATAATATTAAAAAGCTTCTGCACTGCAAAGAGAAACTATCAACAGAGCCAAGAGACAATTTGTATAGTTTCTTTTTCCACTGAATTCTATTTTCATTACTTTATGATGTGATAATATGCATGGAATAATTTTGATTCTTTTGCATTTACTTAAGTATGCTTTATTGGATGTTATTTTGGAGAAAGTTCCACGTGCTGCTGAGAAGAATGTGTATTATGTTGTCATTGGTTAGAAGTGTAGATATTTATTAGCCAGTTAACAGTTTACCCCAAGGGTCAATCGGATAGCATGTTTACATAGTGACTATCCTGAGTGTCCCTTGGGGAGATGTCATTTCACCCAGTTTTGTGTATTCAATAAATTTGATAAAATTGTCAGTTTTATATTTCCTATTATATTATCTTATGAAAATTAACAACAGGCCAGGCATGGTGATGCATACCTATAATCCCAGCACTCAGGAGGCTGAGGCAGGATTGCTGAGAGTTTGAGGTCAACCTGGGCTACATAGTGAGCTCAGGGCCAGCCTGAACTACAAAGCAAGACCCTGTCTCTAAAACAAAATTAACAAGAAATCAATTTTTGGTCTACCTGTATTTAAATAATTGGACTGGTATGCAGTTAAGTGTTTTTGTTCAAAGGTTTGATTCAACTCTGCTATTTCTTTGTTGATTTTTCATCTAGTTGATCTATTTGTGACACTGGCGTATTGTGGTCCCCCACTATAATTGGATTGATTTTAACTGATCTTACATGTCCAGTAGTGTTTATGAAGTGCAGAGTGTCATTGTTTGGTACATATATGTTTATGATTGTTATCTCTTCCTGTTGGGTTGTTCCCTTACTACCCAATACATAGTGCCCTTCTTTGCCTCTTCTGACCAGTTCTAGCTTAAAGTCCACTTTGTCTGAAAATAGGATAGCTACTCCTTCTTGTTTTCAGGTTCCTGTTGCATGAAACAGGATTGTTTTCCATCCATTGATTTATAGTACATGAATTTCTTTTTTGAGGTTAAATGTGTTTCTTCCATGTGGGGGTCTCCTTGAAGAGAGATGGGGATTTGAAGACTTTGTGTGACAAGAACAAAGAAAAGAGGGACATGGGGGACCCAGAACCATAGGAGACTAAGGGGATTTATTCTTTGAAGCAAATACATTTTATACTGTTCTCAACAGGCAGATAAGCAAGCAGAGGAAGCTGCAAGGCTAAAATGGTTGCTGGGAACCGATCCTGCTCTATGCAGATGTTTAAGAAACACTGCAGCCTTGCTTATGATCTATAGATAGGCTCTCCCATACTTTCTCAGGCAGCAGAGAGTGTCTCAAGGGCCTGTGTGCCCTCCTCCCCAATTCTCAGCGTGCTGACCTGATCCTGGCATGCCAAGGACCTGGGAGTCAGTCATGTGATCATCAGAAGGTGAACAGCACATCCCGAGATGACCTCTCACACTTCTACACAGTATACCATTGCATTTCATTTCTTGATCCATTCTGTCAATCTGATACTTTTCATTGGGGGAATTGAGACCACTCACATTGAGAGTTATTACTGAAAGGTATGGAGTTACTCCTGTCATTGCCTAATTTTCCTGTTGCAGACTTTGTTATCCCTCTACTTATCTGCTCACCCTACCTGGTATATTCATTCTGTTGGACCTTTTTGCCTTGTTAGCTTCACTGTCTCTTTCTGAGATATCCTTGAGAGCTTTTTGGAGTGCTGGTTTGGTGGTCATGAATTTCTTTATGTGCTCTTTATCATGGAATTCTCTCTCCATCAATTTCCAAAGACAGTTTTGCAGGATATATTAGTCTAGGTTGGAATTTGTTTTCTTTTAGGACTTGAAACACTTCACTTCAAGCTGTCCTGGTCTTTAGGTTTTTGTTGAGAAGTCTGTTGTAATTCTCATGGGTTTTCCTTGATAAGTGACTCCTTGCATTTCTCTAATGCGTTTATGATTCTGCTACTGTGTTGGACTTCTGGGATTTTGACTACGACATGTTGTGGAGCGGTTCTTTTTTAATCATGGCAATCTGGCATTCTATACACCTCCATTACCTGTATGTTAAATTCTATTCCCACATTTGGAAAGTTTTCTACTGTTATTTCTGAAATACTTTTCTATGCTCTTTGTGCTGCCTTCTAATTTCTCACTAATTCCAATTAACCTTACTCTTTTCTGCATCATCTAGCAGCTGTTGATAATGTTTCAGGTTTTTAAGGTATCTTTCATTAATTGGTCACAGACAATGCCCATCTTCCTGTTCTGACACTTTATCCTCACATTGGTCACTTCTGCTCATACTTTTTTTATCCTGGTAATTTGGGAAGATTTATTTACTGGTTCTTTCACTGGGACTTTTCTGTAAGACCAAGCAAAATTACAATTTCTCTTTGTAAGATCACATTTTACTTTGGCACAATAAGACACAATGGTAACTAATCTACTTTGTTCTAGGACAAAGAAAATCTATTTTACTCTCACAAACCCAGATGAGCCTACATTTTATTTCTAAAAAGTTTAAGGAAGGTCTAGTCTACCAGTTATAAAAATGGAAACCTGTTAGAATTGTAACATAAACATTATTTATGTCAGTTTATAAAAATATATTTGAATTTAGGAAAAGAATGTTGAGGGCCGGGATTTAGCTTAGTGGTTCTGCTGCCTGCATCACAAGTGCAAGGACTGCAGTTCAATTCCCAGTACCAAACAACCAACAAAACTGTATATCAAAACTAATGAATCTGGGGAAAGCTTACCTGTAACTGTCTCAAGCCTTTACTAGCCTGGCAGATTGTTTATTTGATCTAACACATTGGGAACTGGTAAACTTAAATAAAACTCAAAATCCAGTATGATCCTCGAAGCAACCTAATGACGTCAGGAAAATAAGTCTTTTTTTCCAGGCTGGAGAGGTAGCTCATTGGTATAGGGCCAGTGATAGCAAACCTTTTAGAGCTTTCAATGATAACAAACAGCTGGCTGAGGCATGTGTGCCATAGGTTTGCCTCATACTTTCAACAGAATGTTTAATCTCAGACTCTAATTCTTTTCTATGCTGACATTCATGTTTCACATTGCTTTGTTTAGCTCAGCTAGGTTTTTATTAGTGTCTTCTGTAGATTCCCTGATCATTTCATTTATTAGGATCACTATCTGCTTAGTCACACCTCTGAACTCAACAAGCATCTCAGTGATCCGTTTTTTCTCTCCTCTTTTACCCTTGCAAATAATTTGGTTGTGTGGCTTTTGATTTCCTCCCCTTTGATGTACCACGGACCAGCTTTGGGGAAGTTGGGAGTTTGGGGAGACATTTTGTCACCTTGTCTGCTCATGTTTGTACTTTTTGTTTGTTTTCTGTGCTGAGGATTGAGGGCTGATTATAGTGGAAGACTTTGTTGCTAGTACGGAGACCTCTTTAGTTAGTGTCTACTTTTCAGTGATGCATTCTGGGCATTGCTAATTACAGGCCTTTGCCTTTGTTCCAGAATCCCCCTATCTGTGTTTGGGGGGGTGGGGTACCGTGTATTTGTCTCAGTACCCTGTTTGCCAGGAATGGGCTGCAGCATTGTTAATGACAAGAAGGCGATCCAGATATTGGCACACAGAAAACCAGCTGATAACAACAACTGTCACCTTAGCTACAGTAATAAAATCAGCAACAATAACAGCATCAAAGACTAACTGGATATTGACATACTCTTAGAACCAATAATGTAGTACTCATAATCATGGAAAAGAAATCTTTGATTATAGTATAAACCTTAAGACAAACTAAATATTGATCTATAGTAAATATCTACTAAATGGAACGTTACCTCCAATAGAGGTAACAAATGATAACAATAGAACAGTGTTCAACAGTAATAGTATACAATTCTATAAAGATTCATAAACCTTAATGGTTATACCAGTAAAGTTAGAGGGCATGGTTGCCAGGTGTGCTTACAACATCTGTAATCCTAGCACTTAGGAGGCTGAGGCAGGAGGATCACTGAGTTTGAGGCCAGGCTGGGCTACATAGTGAGTTCAAGGGCAACCTGGGCTATACAGCAAGACCCTGTCAGTTTTTTTTTGTACTGGGGATCAAACTCGGGACCTTACACTTTCAAGGCAGGCGGCAGCACCACTGAGCTAAATCCCTGGCCCAGAAAGACCCTGTCTTGAAGAAAATCAAAACAAAAAGATACAGGGTATGAGGAATAGAAGCATGAAAAAAACCCAATTTTAACCTTAACCAATGGAACATGGGAAGGAAGTGAGAAAAGTGAAATAAAGGACCCTAGTAAGGAGTAAAAGGAAATTAATAGTATAGATAAAAGTAACATAAAATGCAAACAAGAAAAAGGAGGTAAAAAAAGAAAATTCAGAGAGCCAAACTAAAGGGAAAAAATAGGAAAAATTAAAAGATTTTGAAGAAACAAAAAAGAAAGGAAAAAGAAAAAAGGGAAAAAACCTCCAAGCACCAACCAACAAATCAACCAATCAATCCAGGATTGGAAATGTTGGTTCAAAAAAGTTCCTCTGCATTTCCAAATGAGCGGTTTCCTTCTAGGGCCTGCAGTTCTGGAATCCAGCAAGCCACAGTCCTCTGTGTCCAGCTTCACAGCCTGTGGGTTTGAGATGCCCACTGGTGGCCCAGGGGCCCTTCCACCAGAAACCCCAGACTGTGGCAACTGTCCAAGCTGAGGCGCATTGCTGCTCACACTGGTAAACAGGAAGACAATCAGACCCCAGCCTCCACTGGAGGTAGGCAGTGGGGTGGGGAGCTCAAGCAGATCGCTGGACTCGATGGCATCACCTTCAGATCCCGCCAGGGAGGCAGTAGAAACTTAAGGAAGTGGGGCTTAGTGGTAGGAAGTTGGGTTACAGGGGCCTGAGCCCTTGCAGGGACACTGGGGTCTTGACCCCTCCTCTTCCTGCTATTCTTGCTTCCTGGCTGCCATGAGATGGGCAGTTTGCTTCACCATGAGCCCCTGTCACGTGCCACTACAGGCCCAAAGACATCAGGGTCATGCACTGTGCACTAAACCCTAAGAAACTGTAGGTCAAAATAAGCCTTTCCCCCGTAGGATTGCCTCAGGTATTTTGTCCCAGAAAACAAAAGCTAACAAAGTACATTATGGCCCCTCTGGTTCAGGGCCTTTGCGTATGCCATCCTGTGCCTGGGACTCCTCTGCACCCCACTTCCATTTCACCTATTGACACTGCCAGGACTCAGCTCAGGTCTCACGTGTCTCTTCCTAAGGAAGCCATGTGACCATCCAGTCCCCCTACCAGGTCACACAGATCCTGCCATGCCTTTGCCAAGGTCCTGTATTTTTTTTGGAGGTTGAGTGGGTACTGGGGATCGAACTCAGGACCTTGGGCTTGCAAGGCAGGTACCCGAATCACTGAGCTAAATTCCCATTCCCTCGGTCCTGTATTTCTTTAGGGCTCTAATCATAGTGCCTGAAAAGTAGCTCAACTACAAATTACGATTCCTAGGACTCCTGTTTTATTAATGCCTGCCTCCCCTACTGGGCTGTGAGGGCAGGGACTGGCAGCTCTACCCCCAGCACCCAGCACAGGACAGGTACCCAAAAATGTATTTCAAATTAACTGAATACAAACAAATCCAGAAGCAGGGCAAACATGAGGAACGGTGATTTCCCAACTACAGTTTCATCTTCAATAAGCCGAGCAGGGGAGTCTTAGGACCCCTACCCTGTGACAAATTACCAACCTGTGGTGGGACAGAAAAGCTAGGTCCAAAGGGGATGAGGAAAATCATAATTATAAAGTCATACATTACCAAGTAGAGGCCAAGTGTGGTGGCAGAGACCTGCGATCCTAGTATTCGGGAGGCTGAGGCAGAAGGATCCCCCAGTTCAAGGCAAGCCTGGCCAACATAACCCTGTCTCACTCCCCCGACCCATTACACTTTTAAGAAAAACTACAGCTTCCTTGCAAGTGCAAGATCGTGAGTTTGATCCCCAGTACCAAAAAAAGAAAAACTATGGTTTCAGGACCAAAACATTGCCCAAAGTTACAATGCCTTTTTCCCATCCAGGAAATTACAAAAAGAAAAAAAATCTTAAGCATCTTTTTCATTTTTTAGGGGGTAGGTATGGTCTCACTATGTAGTTCAGGCTGGCCTTGAACTCGAGATCCTCCGGCCTCGGCCTCCCGAGTGCTGGGATCACAGGTGTGTGCCACCACAGCCAGCAAAAATCCTGAGGGTCTCAAAGACACAATAAGCCTGTAACTTGCTTTTGCTCCCAGACCTCTATCCTCCAGGAAGCGGCGCCAACACGTGGGCAGCATAACACGGAACTTCAACCTAACAGAGCCCCGCACACGAGGGGCCCAACAGACAGCAGGATAGGCACCCTACATCACCCATCCTGAGGACCCCAAGGCCACACAAAAATCCCCACCTGGACCATAACCCTCCCTCCTCTCTCACAAGGACCGCACTCTGAGTGTTACTTGCTAAATTCTGCCTAATAAACGTTTCTGTGCCTCTCCCTGGCTCCTTTATTTCTTTTCTGTGACATAAGTCACAATCTACCCCGGAAGTGGGGTGAGGTCCCCTTCTCCTGTTCGGGGACCTCCCCAGCCCCACCCAGGGACAAACCCACCCCCCCCACTCAGGCGGGGAGACAAGACTGTGGCCACCAGGGGGAGTGTTTTGCGTTTTAAAGACTCTAAAGAACTCTCCTCCCTTCCCTCCATCCTGGGGGCTCAGATCTCAGCTTCAGCTTCACTCTCGGGGGACAATGTGACCGAGGCTGAGGGTCCATCGCTGGGATCAAAAGAAGTGGGCGAGAAGGTGCAGAAAGAGGCTTCGACCCAGTCCTGGAGCTGGGTCATAAGTCCAAGTCTTTAGATTCAGGAACCAGAGTGAATGGCAGGTTGCTCTTTGCAAAGCTGCACCCTACTGCGCCAAAGACACCAGCATGGGCAGAACTTGGCCCAGGTACCTGAAGGGGTTACTTGAGGTCTGGGGTCAGGAGTGGCACCACCTCTGCTAGAGAGTTCCTGGGTCTGGCAGAGACCTTGGTCCAAGAGGTCTGGAGGAGGGGAACGGCCTTGGGTCACCAAGGAGCATCATCTGGGCCTGAGGAAGGAAAGTATCGGGCACCCCCGGACCAGGACCAGCACCAGGAAGGCAGCATATGCAGGATGGCAAAGCAACGGTTAGGTTAGCATAATCTATCTAAGGGCGCGGCTGGACTCAGGAGGAGGGGGCGGAGCTAAGCCCGAGGAGGAGGAGCCTGGAGATGGAAAGGAACAGAACCAATGGGAAGGACAGCCAAGCTGGGGAGCAGAAAAAGGACCCAGTGAGGGAGCACAAACTTCCGGAGGGTGGGCTAAGGCCTAGGGCCATGGGCAAGGGCCTGAAGAAAGATGCCGGGGTCCAAGTGCCTGTGGGCAGAAACAACCTGGGAAAGATGGGGGGCAAAGAAAGGTGGGGACAGTGAGCTCCAGGGTGGAAACAGACTGTGGGCCAGGTATTTCCCAGGGCTGGACTCAAGCCGGAAAGCGGGCTCAGAACCCAATGCCAGGCCCAGGAGCAGGGTCAGAACGACGGGAGAAACAGAGCATTATCCAGGTGCGCCGGGAGCCCCTAGGGTGACATCAAAGTGGAGAGGCATGGGGTGACCGGAGACACAGGGACAGCCAGGTCCCAGGGACAGTCAGATGAGGAAGGAAGGTCTCAGCTAGGCCCGAGGTCCCGGGTCTTGCTCAGGCTCAGTCCCTGGCACACCGCGGATGTCTGGGAGCAAGCGACAGCCAGCCACAATGTCCAGGCGCTCGGCCAGCGCACAGAGGTCCCCTCGCACCAGGCGCACGCTGTGGGCCGCCGCCAACCCTGCAGCCTGGGCGGCCGCCAGCCTCCCGGCCAGGGCGGCCACATCACGGCCCGCACGGCGGTACACACCGCTCACGGCCGCCACCACGTCGTGGTCCACCCGCGCCTGGCTCTCGGGAGTCGGAGCTGCAGCAGCGAGCGCGCGGGCGCGGGCGCGGGCGCGGGCGCGGGCGCGGGCGCCGGGGCCTCCTCCACGTCCCAGGCCTCCCCGGCCGCCTCCCGCTGCACCACGAGCGGAGGCAGGTCCGTGGGCGCGGCCGTGGGCTCTGGCTCCGGGTCCGAGTCTGTCTCCGCGGCCTCCCCGGCGATCCGCTGCCCCGTGGCCCGGCCGCGCGTCGGACCCGAAGGACCCAGGTACAGCTCTTCCTCTGACGATGAGGACGCAGAGGGCTCCAAGTCCATCTCAGCTGCCTCCCCCGACACCATCGTCCGGACCTTCACGGCAGCCTCCGCCTACGACCTTGGGTCGCCATGGCGTGGAGCTGGGGACAAGAGAAGGGAAGGGACAGCGTGAGAAGAAGGCGCCCCGGAGAACGAGCGAGACCGCCGCACTGGGTCGCTCAGGGATTGGGCCCTCTGTCCGAGTCTCCCCTTCTGTAAACTGGCTGATGGGGCTCCAGCCACTGCAGTGTACAGATGGGGAAACTGAGCAACACCTCGATCAAGGCCGGGGGACCAATTCCCCGAGACTTAAACTGAGTTCCTTCCGGAGAGGAAGGCAGAGGCCGCACCTAGGCATCGTCCTCCAGCCCTGTCTCACCCGGAAGCACTCGGGCTCCTGAGCCGCTCAGGGACCAGGGACGCCCACACACAGGACGCCCTGTGGGGAACTCGGGAGAGCGCACTAACAGGGAGCAGGTCGGGGGGCATAAGGTGCTAACCAAAGGCCACACCCGACTGAAGAAGCCCGGAGCCCAAGGAATCCGCTACCGAAAGGAGGCGCGTGGAAGACACCTTGGGAGGACAGCAGTCTCAACCAATAGGAGGAGAGGCTGGGCGTGCATCGGTGAAATCACGACGGGGGGGTCGCTTTTCTACTACTCAGAAAGCAAGTTCTCAGCACCAGCTTGGAGGGCGTGCACAGCAGTCACGTGATAGCAGCATGACCAATGCGGAAGCGGTTGGGCTTGAGCTTCCGTGTTGTGGTTGGAAGAAAGTCTGTAGTGCACACCTCGGGTGTTTTTAAAAAATGAGAATGCATGGGCTGGGGATTTAGCTCAGTAATGCTACCGCCTGACCCGTTAGCGCAAGGACCCGAGTTTGAGTCCTGGTATCAACCCCCCCCCCAAAAAAAAACAAACGTGCTAGGCATGGTGATGTACACCTATACTTTTAGAATTCGAAAGGCTGAGTAGGAGGATCGATGCGAGTTTGAGGCCAGCCTGGGCTACATAGGGAGTTCAGGGCCAGCCTGCACTACATAGCGAGACCTTGTCTCAAAAATAAAAAATTTTAAAAATGAGAATGTCTGCCTAGTGCTATTTCAAATGGGAATTCGCGAAGACCCGGAAGCAGGGAAGGCACCAAAGCGAGGACGGACAATGTTATCACACACGGCCAATGAGAGGCGGAGTAGATTCTTTCCTCCGCTGCCCAACCTCAGGAGCACTCCTCCAGGCCCAGGCAAGAAGGCGGGGCCAATCTAGTCCACCAATGAAAGAGGGGGTGGGCGGGATCGGATCCGTAGGAGGCGGGACTTGCTCAGCCTGACCAATGAAGGAAGCGCTGGGGCAGTAGGTAGGGGCTCAGGCTGGTGCATGGCGAATACCGCGGTGTTTGAGTTTCTGCACACCGAGATGGTGGCGGAGCTATGGGCTCCGAACCCCGATCCAGGCCCAGGGGTGAGCTCCAGACCCTTGGGGGAGGAGGCGCGGGCCGCAAAGGAAAAGCTGGATGGAGGCCCCAGGATGCGTGCAGGGTAGGAATGCCCCCGGGTTCGAACCCTTGGCTCCGCCCCTGCCTGGCTGGGTGACTTCAGCGCTGGCTTTCCCAAGTGAGGGTCGCGACAGTGCCTTCCTCGAAGGCTATACCTGGAATTGAGGGAGATGACTCAGTATGAAGCACTAGTTCAAGGATGGACAAAAAGTAAGCGGTTAGTAATTATAATAATTGCTGTTACTGGGCCTGTGCTAAGGATTCACTTCCAATGCTCACTAATCAATCCATTTTTATTTTCCTGAGTTACTGGAGATGCAACCATTGAACCCAGGATCTTCATACTAAGCTTCATCCCTAGGTCTTGTTGTTTTCTATTTTGAGATGGCCTCGCCAAATTACCAAGTTGCCCAGACCAGCCTGGAACTCAAGACCCTCCTCCCTCAGCCTCCCAGAGTACTGGGATTACAGCATCACCACGCTCGACTTAATCACTTAATTTCTGTATGCCTCAGTTTCCTCCTTTGCCAGATGGCATTCTAAGCGTACCCAAGTCTCAGAGTAGAAGGAACACTTACTCATTGGACACTTAGCGATCTTCTATTGTATTCTGGGCATTGTTCTAAGAAAAATTGTAATCCCTGTGAGGCTTAGGTTTTAGTACAAGAGTCGAGTAGTAAAACACGCCCGAAGCTAGTGAGAAGCTCTATGAAAAGATCAGGGAAAGAAGAGGGCTGGGTAGTGGATGATGAGGGAAAGTCTTTCTGAAAAAGGGAAGAGAGGAAACAGCAAGTCCCTGGTGGGACAACATCCCAGGAAGAGAGAAAGGAGGGTGAAGCCCTGAGGGAAGAGCATGCTTGGCATTTTGGAAGTTGCTCCCTCATGAAGAATAAATGAGTTAAAACTTTTAAGTAAGATGTCTAGCACATAGCCCATAAAAGTCTTAGTAAGATGTCTAGCACATAGCCCATAAAAATATGGATGCTCTTGTTATAAAAATCTGTTACTGAGCTGGTGCTATAGCTCAGTGGTAGACTGCTTGCCTAGCACACATGAGACCCGGGTTCTCTCCCCAGCCCTGGAAACAAATTTGTTAACAAGAAAAATGCCCGAGGAGATTCAGAGTGTAGGTGCATTCAGTGGGAGCTGTGGTCACTTTTTTATGTGTGTTTTTTTTGGTACCTGAGGATCAAACTCAGGACCTTGCACTTTTGAGGCAGGTGCTGGGACCACTGAGCTAAATCCTGGTCCTTTACGTTATTCTTATGATCATGGTCATTACATGCAAGACATTTTTTTTTTTTTTTTGCTACTGGGGATTGAACTTGGGACCTTGTGCCCTGGAGGCAGGTGGCAGAACCACTGAGCCAAATCCCTGGCCCAGGTGCAAGACATTTTTATTGGCTCAGGTTTCCCCTCCCACATTAGGGTCTCCAGGGTGGCTGCTGCTTGTCCTCTTAGGGTAGTGTCTTCTGAGTTCATTAATTCTTTCAACAAACTTTTACCTAAGACCTGCAAGGTACCAGTCTGCTGTCGGCTCAGTGAACCATACAAAAGTCCGTGTCCTGCAGTGAACGTTATAATGGGGAGTCTGACAAATGAGTGAGTACAGTATGTGGGCCGTTGTGTACCTGCTGTGAGAGAGAAAGCTGGTGTGTGTCGGGGGGTGCATCAGCCTGGGGCCCAGGCAGAGGTGTAACTCGCTCAGCACCCCATTCTTCCGGGCGGTCAGACACCTGCCTTTGCTCCCTCACCTCCAGCCCACGGCCGGCCCT